CAATTCATTTCGCAACATTTAGTTGCAAACCCTGCTTGCATAGGGTACGTAGAAAATGATGTACATTCTCCCAATTCTTCTGCAAACATGAATCATTTCTTTAACTGTTGGTTACAACCATGAGCCGAAAAATAAGGAAATCACAATTTGCCTTCCTGAACTAATCTGCGCTAGACAAACTTCCCCTGACCTGATAGATAAGCTGTTCAAAGCTCCATTCACTTTCACTCTGAGCTCTCCACAAACCACTAACTGCCCTCGAGCCAAGTCTGGATCACATTCCGAAGAATGTGAAAGACATGGTGGATGACTGCCACCTTCATGACATTTTTGACAGTGTCACATTATTATTATTATTGCATTTGATAAAGCACCTTATCACGTCGAGGCATTTCAAAGCGCTTCACAGAATATACTGTAAAGTGAATTGACTGCGTATTTTGTGGGCAAAATAATAATAATCCTCGCATTTGATATAGTGCTTTTCACGTCTTCTGGATGTCTCAAAGCGCTTCACAGTATATACTGTAAAGTGAATTGACTGCATATTTTGTGAATTGAAGTAACCAATTTATTATTGTTTTCTTTTCTTGAGGTATTATTATCAGCCATGTGGAGTAAGGAAACTTGCCCAAGGTTTCACCCTGCCGGGAATCGAATCCAAGTCTCTCGCTTGGAAAGCGAGTGCTCTAACCACTGAACTACGGGACTCCACATGGTTATTGTGAAGCTTTATGCCGCCACGTTTCTCCCGACTCCTGTGCTGTAAAATGCCTCAGATAGTAGATTTTTTTGAGCCCTGAAGCACATTCTTCTACTGAGATAATACATTCAACTCCTTGTGAACTGCATTATTTTACAAATCCATTGTAAACAATATGTTCTGCAGCATTCTGCCTTTGGGCTACGTTATTTTCTCCTGTTCCATATTTTTATCAATAATATTAGTATTAATCAAAAAACTGCTGGTGCTTATTTAATAGTTAATCCTTACCATGCTTTTTTTTTGATATAGCACCTTATCAAGTCGTTGAGATGACTTAACGCACTTCACAGAATATAGTGTAAAGTGAATTTAACTGCATATTTTGTGGGCAAATCATTCAGTTTTGTGAGCTAACATCTCAAGAGATGTTGGAAGCAAGTGCTATCAAATTGGACCTTGGGTTCTTCTGGGCAAACTGACATAGAGCAGAGCTTCTTAGTGTTAGCCTGGCTAAAATGATAACATGTGTCCCTCTGGATCAGAAAGTGCTGGGTTCATGTCCCAAATTTGGCCTTGAGTTTATAGTCTAGGCTGACTCCTGGGAAATTCTGCATTGGCAGAGATCCCATCCTTTCGATAGGACAATCTTCAATACACAGTTGTTTATTTGTTTTATGGCTTTGTGGAGCATTGCTGCACATAGCAGTTGATGTGTTTACAGTCACTACAAATAATAGCAATGATACTTTGATATTATATTTAGTGCAAGAATATTATTACGTTAGGACCAGAATAAATGAAGTATGCTGACTGGGATGGTAGTGAAGGGCCTGTGAAGCTAGAGGATGGGTGATATTGGCCAACAAAACCTGGTGCTCTGAAATAGGTGCAGATCTTTTACACGTGGGTCTGCATAAGATTATCAAATAAAGACAGAATGTTGGCCACCACATATTTTGAATGTCATCCAGGGCTGGCTCAACACTAATGGTGTGTGAAGGAGGCATCTTCAAAGAATAAAGAACCTCCAAACATGTTGGTTTGAGTCCGTTGGTAGCAATCTCGCCTCTGGGGCAAACACTCCAGTGCAGTCCTGCATTGTCGAAGGTGCTGCCTTTTAGATGAATTGTTAAACTGAGTTCCAGCTTGTTTATCTTCTGGTGGGCATCAAAATTACCATGATACTTTGAAAAAACGAAGGTCGTTTTTCTTGGTGTTCTGACCAACCTTAATTTCATGGCTGTTTGTGTGACCTGCTGGAGCAAACTCAAGTCAAATTGTGAAGCCCATTAATTCAGCTTGCCATGTTAAGGCATAAAAATTGAAGTTCTTTTTTCTTACAAGATAAGGTTTGTTTTCTCCAAAGGTATATTGAGGCTTCACAAGGTCACCTAGATCATAAGATTGTTTTGTATGAAAAAAGCCCTTTGGTCCATCTGATCTCACGGCTCCAGAATACCCACCCTGTTGTCCTTCCATCACAGTATGTAGCTCGCAACCACCTGACTCAGACATGAGTCTTCCACTGACTGACGAAGAATAATACTCTCTGGCTACACAACATATTGGCTGTACATCAATTCACTGTGGCTATACATTTATATACTCTGGCTGCATATACATACATACCACATTGACTACATGTTAATACACTGACTATATGTTAGGACATCACCACTCTGATTCAAAACCACCTCTTGTCAGCTCGATCAAGGAAGAAACCCAACATCCTGGAATCTTGAGACCTCTTCCAGTCACACCCAAGCTGTATGCTCAAGGTCATAGGCATGATACCAAACAATGCCTTTGGGCAGCTGCACTTCTGAATCGCTTCCAGACCTTTACTGTGCAGAAGTGTTCTCCATTTATTGCCAACAAGCTTGTGATCATACCAAATACTTTTGGTAATATGCAGAGCTAATCTACAGGGCTAACATTTTCCCCTTTAAATTCTATGGATGTGCTTCCAAAGAATTTGATAGTGTTACTTTAATAGTCACCAATGCAATCATTTATGTGTTGATTTAATCAAGTAACCAAATTAACATATTTTTCGATATGGCATTCTTGTTATATTTACTTAGTCTGTGTGCAAAAATTTTGCAAATGAAAGTTTGCATTTATATAACTCCCTTTACACAGGGAATCGTCTTGGAGCACTTATAGTTGTACAGGCATTGCGAACGCATATTTGAAGCCAGTTTGAAAACGGAATTTAGGCTCAGGTGTATTCTATGAGAATTGGGCTGATTTGTCACTGGACTGCTAATTAGAATACATTTTGTTCAAAAAACACTGTTAAGGAGGCAGAATACAACTCAAATAAGGGATTTTCTGGGCCAGGGTTTTTTCACTTTTATTTAAAATTATAAAACAGATTTATTTTTTTTAAAAATGATTGACTAAGATTATCTCACAATCAAGGTTATTGTTTTGTGTAGATTGTTTTAGCTGGGGCAGAAAATAGTGCCTGTGTGTGTTGGGGGTGGAAATTAAGCAGGTTTTAAAATTATAAATTGTTTTAATAGGGTAAGAGAGACTACTTCCATTGATCAGTGAGTGAGGAACAAAGGCGTATTAATTGCAGATTACCACCAGAAGCAGAAATAATTGGTATACACAGGTCGATTGTTAGGCATTCATGAGATGTTTTACCATGAATACCTGTTAAAACTGAACCCATGATAGCATTTAAAAAGGGAATTGGATAAATACTTGAGGAAAATAATATTTTGAGGAACGAGCAAGGTGATAGAGTAAGCTACCTATAAAGATTAAAGCTAGCATAGTAGGCAATAAATGTTGATTAAGCTTTTGCTCTGTTGTATGTTTTATATCATTCTATATATTTTCAAATCATGCCACTTCTTCACTAGTTGACCATTTTGCATGAGAGGATTTGTAACGTCTATCGTCAAAATCACGAACGAAGGGTTTGGCACTAGATTCAGCAAGGATGTTATGTGGGCAATATTCCAGATATGGAATTATGGATTAGCAACTGACTGGATGCAGGATTAGAAGCACAGTGGAGGTGTGGGGGAGCAGAGCACCTCCATTCTGCTCTGCTTAATTGACCTGATTAGTCAGTCAGGAAGATTAATGGAGTCAGAGACCAAATTGAAAAAGCGTTAGTAAAAAACAAACAATATGGATATCATCGGAAACTTTCAAAAAGGAATGAGATTAGCTCCTAGCAACTAAAATTATTCAGTGTATTATTAGATAGATATGTTCAAGAAATCTTGTGGAAAATTGCGTAGGTGATCCAATAGGTCAATAATCTTCTCCTAATTAAAGTTGTTACTATGAACATGTAGGAGGAGATACTGAATTACTGTATTCTGCTTACCTATCACATAAGATTCAAGTTACTACACTTACTAGCATACTGATTAATGACCAGTCACTCAAATGTGAAGCTTTAATGACTTTAAATTAGTTAGCAAGAATGGCAAAGATGAGTTTTAAAAATGCTTTCATTACTAAACATATTTCCATTGAAGACTAAGCATACATGGATGTAAACATATTATTTACCACCAGTGACCAAATAAATCTTGCTTTAAAAACTTGCTTTAAAACTTGCAGACTTTTTTCCCCAGTTCAATGACAGATGCATGAGGAAACCCATCACCGTGCTTAAGAGTATTCAAACCAGGCAGTTTCATATACATATGACACCTACATGTGGAAATGTCCCTGTGTCTGTAATGCACAATTGTCCATCGAGGGACACACCCCTTTACCTGATTCCAGAAATTATTTAGACACAGGTTGGCAAGAACCAAGGCTTGGGGATTCCAGAATGTATAATAGGGTAGTGCTGGAATCTAACTTGCTAAAATTTGCCTTGAGAACCTACTGCAAAGAGAAATCACACATGCACTATTGCAGTACTTACTGCTTATAAGCAGTTCTGGGCTGTACAAAACAATGTAAAAGTAGTTTGGGGATTTAACAAAAAAATTATAAGCAGTGAGGTTCACCAAGGGGAGAAGATGTCAACATTAACAACATTTGTCAACAAAATAAATGCTTTTTAAAAGCTCCAAGTTCATTAATTTAATCTCACCTTGCTTCCAGCACGGTAAACCGGTTTCACGTGATGGAAAATTTGGAGTGAGCATTGAATCTCAAAATCACTGAGAAGAATGCTTTTAGCAAAAGGAAAACAGCCTGAATCACTTGCTGCCTATCTAAAACAACAACAACAAGAAGATTACATTTGTATAGCGCCTTTCACGTCGGGAGGATGTCCCAAGGCGCTGGACAGAGCTATTTTCGTGTGCTTTTTTTCATTAAAAATGTGGCTGGTAGGAATGATTTAATTTAAAAAGTTGATTTATAAAAATGCTTTGTTTAAACACTGTGTAAGTTCTCCTGTGTGTGACAGTACCATTTTTCAACATCCCAAAACTCTACTCGGTTAATACCACTCACTTCTGTGCTGAACAATTCACAGAACTTTAGCGAACGCCCTCAAAAATAGATGAAAGTTTTTTGAGAGCTCAAGAATGTTCCTGTCCCATTCTTCACCCATGAAAAACAGATCATGTCCAAAAGATGATGAAAACTATTTTAAAGGCAAAGGTTTGACTGTCTTATTGGCAGCGATCCATGCAGATCAACAGATCATGGTTACATTTTGTACGAACCCTGCATACATTCTCTGATAGCTCACTATTATTTCTTCAGTTTCTTCTGTGCTGCTTTCTTTTTGACCATCTGAAGTCGCTTCATGGCATTGAGCTGCGACTCTTGCGATGTTGGAACTTTAGGTAGAGAAGAGTTGCCTCCTTCGGAGGTGACTTTTGCCCCATTGTTCCCAGTGCTGCTGATGGCAACACTGGTGCCTCCATTTCCACCACTAGCCTGGCCAGCACTGCTGCTTGTTGCTGTTAAACCCACTTTACTCACATTGTCATTGCTGGTGGATCGGTTGAGACCTGGTTTTCCCAGTGTTAAAGGAGGGGGTGGTTTGATGGGTCCTGGACTGGAGTTGCCACTTGCAGTCACTTTGGAACTTAGCCCTACTTTAGACGTTGTGAGCCCAGATAGACCCATTGGTTTTGAGTTTGAAGTGGTCAAACTAGGCTTCCCGCTGGCACTTTGAACAGAAGCTCCCAATTTCGCCGTGGAGGGGGCTGCAGCAGATGTTTTGGCTCCAAAGGCAGCCCATCCTGTGAGACCACTGGCGGATGAAGAGGATGAGTTGGAATTGGAAGAGTTCCCAGAAACTGCCGAGGTAGTCTGCAAAAAATATTTTAAATTAATAAAAAAGTATTTGAAACCACATTCAGCAGGGTGAAAAAGACTTAAATATTCTCTCTAGACCCTCAGCTGATACTTTATAGGGGAAACCTTTCTCGTCCACAAAATATGCAGTCAGTTCACTTTACGGTATATCCTGTGAAGCGCTTTGAAACGTCTCAACGACCCGATAAGGCACTATATCAAATGCAAGGATTATTATTATTAGCCTTGAACTGTAATTGAATCCCATATTGCGTTTTGCACTCATTTCCTAGTAAACGCCTTCATCACATCGAGGCTCGACTATGCAAACTCACTGCTTGTCGGCCTCCCCAACTCCTCCCTCCACAGACTGCAGACCACCCAGAACTCTGCAGCCGGTCCTCTCCCACATTAGGCTCCGCGATCCTATTACCCCCATCCTCACCCGACTCCACTGACTCCCTATCACACAGAGGATACAGTTCAAGATCCTGGTCCTCACCTCCAAAGCCCTTCACGGTCTTGCTCCCCCCTACCTCTCCGACCTCCTAACCCCCTATCACCCTGTTCGCTCCCTCCGCTCAGCGGGCTCCGCCTGCTTCACGTCCCTCACCTTGCTTGCCCCACTATCGGGGCGTGGGCCTTCCGCCATTTGGTACCCACCCTCTGGAATTCCATCCCGCAGTCCCTCCGTCTCACCCCCTCCCTTGCCACCTTCAAGACCCACTTCAAGATCCTCCTCTTCGACCATGCTTTCGATCTCCCTGCTTCCCCCCCCGCCCTCCCCCACCCCGACCCTCAGCTCAGGTTCGTAACTCTGTCTGTCCAGCGCCTTGGGACGTCCTCCCGACGAGAAAGGTGCTCTACAAATGTGTTGTTGTTGTAAACAATTGCTTTTCCATTGATTACAGTTGAGGAATGCACAGGGAAATATTACTATTCGTTCAGTATTATACATCATTCTTCAATTTGTATTAATGGTGTATGGTGTATTAATAGTAATGGTGTTAATTTTTACTTGCCATATGATTTAAATGAAAGCGATTACCAAACAAATGCCTCTGCAATTTAACAATAATTTATTCCTTTGGGTGTACACCTGATCAAACTGACATATCTCAAAAACATTTCACGCTCAGTGAAATGACTTTGTCGTGTTTTGCATACACCAATCAGACCCACTGAAACCTTTAGGACCAACAACTAGTTCACATTTCATCACAAATCATCTTGTTTTGTACTTTTAAGACCACTCCAGTGGGAAGTGGACTGACTCACATCAATCTACTTTGCGTGGGAACCTCATGGCCAGCAGAGAAAGGAGACTTCCACCCCGTTAGTCCAGGCTGAGGTCAAAGCCGTGGCTCAGAGTGAAGTGCACTAACTAATGCACTCTTCCAATCCAGCAAAATGTTGTCATTACTTTGGGAGCACATCCAGAAACAGGCAAGTTTTAAACCTATAATGCACCAAATGAAAGTTTCAACCACTAAACCATGACCTATTGCTGAGGAGAATTTGTTTAACACTAATTATTGGAGACTATTACTGCACCTTCACTTCCGTTCTCTTGAAGGCCTGAAACGAAGTCATTTCCTGTTTAAGTTTCATTTCAGGTTTTTTCACCAGGGGATCCTTGACTGACGGGACTGTGCTAACAACTGAGGTAGAAACTTTTGGAGTTGTCTTTTGTGTCTTCTGTGCCTGTTTATAATAAAAAATGACAAAGTTATATTCTAATTACAAGACCTCAAAACATCATGAAAAGTAACATTTAGTTTGGTTACATCAAAGATTGTTGATGTTTTATCCTTTTCTGGGTTCCATCTTAATATTAACATTCCCAGACGAGCATGTTGGACACGGTGTTTACGCAACTTTGCTGTGACCCCCGATGGCTTTGCCTATAACTTCATGAGTTGTACTTAAGTTACACCATGTGAATCATAGACAGTATTTCTAAGAGAGGAAGTAAGGAGCCAATCTGCACTGTACAAACGTCTCCAATATAAGTTCAACAGGTAGATTAACTGCCCTACCTCCCATACTTATTACACCCATCGTCCCAGGGGAAGCTAAACAGTCAGACAACACTTTTCACCCACTGATGTCACTTTGAAAAATAACTGGTTCCCAAGTCCCATCCAATGACGGATGTATACAAGTCTAACACATGCGTCAGCTCAGCTTTCAGTTTACTCCACTTTTCTTCCCAGGTTTCTGTGGCTCTCAATGCTGACCCAGCATCTCTCCATACACATTGATGGTTTGGGTGAAATTACAAAATGCAGTTTCTCACACTTTGGCCCAGTCCATCACAAGTAGTTTGAAACAGTCCTGTTTAACGTCACTGAACAATTCCATCGCTGCTCCTTACCATCTAATTTGTAATATACTGTGGCATCTCTAGCAAACGATGAATCATTCTAGTGGCATTAAAACGTGGACTCAATGGAAACTCTTACCATTTTCTTCATCTGCCTGGTACAGCGGGCACAGTACCAAACCAGCCGAGGGTCGTTCACATCCTTATCTGTGACTTGGGGCTTGTGACAGTCTTGGTGGTATAGGTTGTGGCATTCTTGACATTCGACCAGCTGATTACCTGATGTAACCGTCATCTGCCTACAAGCAAGGTCACAGCCAGTGAGCCAGTCATTTGTTGCTGGTACTATCAAAAAGTACACTATGTCTAGACAATTCTATCCAATAGCTAAATGTGAGTAGCCATTCAATATACTTCCAGTTACCACCTCAACTTTTTAAATAAAATCAAAAATATGGTGGGGGAAATGCACAGTAGATTGTTCAGCATCTGAAAGTGATGGTTTAATTTTTCTGGTTTGACCTTTCATTAGATCTCCTTGACTGCCCTACTCTATGTAGTACTGATGCAAATACATAACCTGTCTATCAGATGATGATCAAACCTGCTGTACATTTTCAGCACTTTTTCTCATTTTTACCATTCAGTTTTGCTTTTGATCCAATTGATTATTTCTCAATCCTCCATTTAGAATACAGAATATCTTAGCGTAACCAGGACATTTCTCTACATGCAAAGCAAAACTACCCACCTGGAAAGCACAGTACTCGCTGTTACAATGGAATTACACAAAGTGGCTAATTCAAAGACCAGATGATTAATCGCAGAGTACACAAGCTTTGCTTACACAGTTCATCAGTACTCCGAGACAAGGTTAATATCCTTATTTACGCCTAGCTATCTATCATTCAGCACAATAAAATTTTATATTGATTTGAAAGAAAGATTTGCACCTCTAGCACTGTATGCCGAACAGTCACTGATGTCGAGGAGACCTACTGGGCGATTGTGATTTATGTAAGTAAATCTATGCCAGGCTTCTGACTGATGTCACCGCAGCTATAATAATTGGTAAGGAATTTTGTAAGGGAGGGAGGGTTTAAACAAATTACACATTTAGTATTGTGCAAGTGACCTCTGTATGTTTCATTCCATCTTGGGAAGAGAATTTGGCTGTGTAACTTCAGTTGTGGATTTGCATTCATCTGAACTGCAAACAAGACCATGTTTGGTATTTTTTTCTGTGGGGGGGGAATAAAGTTCACAAACAACACAAACAACAGTAAAAGGGACAGGCAATAACGATGCTGGACTGGAAAAGACATTGCATAAGGTGACTGGCATTACGCTAATATAGGGTTCTTTTGACAGCATAATTCAGGTAATTATGACTAGCAATGCATATCGTGCGACCAAAATTTGTTTGACAGCATATTCGGATAAGACCTTGCTAAATAGAGGGAAGTCCACGTCTCGTTTTTCCACTGAGATACACAGGTCTGTGAAATCAAGTGGTCGTTTCACAAAACCATTTGTAAACAAACTCTCTTACCGACAAACCACGCATGCCAACCCCATTTCCATGGCAAAGTCTTCAGCACTTTCGAAGCCTGGCAGGTCTGGCTGGACCAAATCCTTGCTGGACTGAACTGTGATGGGAGATGAGCGATTCTCTGACTTTTCCAATCTGGGTTTTTTCTGGATGTCGATTCCTTCAGGAGGTTCCAGTTTAACCTAATTGGCAAAAAGGGGAAAGGTGATTGGATACATGTATGATTTCTTTAAGAAGTTGATTCACAATAACCAAGGACACGAGTACTCTGCACAAGGTTTCGATATTAGGTCAAAATGCCTTCAACGATAACAAACCGGAGCAATTTGCATTGCATTCTCATACAGGATAAAGTCTTGGAGCCAATCTCAAAGATGGGGATGGAGGTCAAGAAATAAGGGGAGGAGCGGTAGGTAGGTATGGATGAAGAATGCCCTGGGACACTACCTTGCGTGAGGGACGCTATGTATTTGCAAGTTGTTATAGTTATTGAAGAGATAGCTTTTTTTTGGTGGGATTTAAAGACAGATAATTGTGGCGGGGGGTGGGGTGGAGGTGGGAAGGTGGGGGAGCTTCATTCCAAAGGTTAGGGGAGTAATAGGGGTGATTATAATAGATGACAGCTTGGCCACCAATGGGATCAAGGAGGGAGCCTGCGACGTGGAGGTCCCATGCAGGAGGCCCGGGATACCAGATGCGCAGAGGATCACAAATCAAATTAAACTGGAAATATTTGACCTTTTCAGCTGGTCTCTTCTCCGTCTCCTTCTTGACTTTCTCAACAGAACTGGATTTCCCATTGCTGCCCAACGATAGACTGGACGACACCTTGGACTCCTGCTTACTAGAACTGGATTTGGAACCAGTAGTTATCTTGGGTGTATCAGTTTCCTGTCCAAAAGAAATATACAGGATTAATATAATCTTTCTGAAATCAAAGCAAATCAACTTGTTTATGGGACAATTTTTGAAATACAAGAGGCATGAAATTCCCCCCTCTTCCTGAAACAAAAATGTAGTGATATAAGACATTTCAGTCAACTATAGGTACTCAGTACTGTACTGACAAACCTAGACGGGATGTTCTGTTGTACAAGACCGTATATCAATATTTGGCTAAAGAAACAAAGATACACACAGGCTGGCCTATTTGCCAACCATACTTATCGGAATGCGATGTAATGGAAACTTTTCACAAAAGCAAACAAGAATAGAGAGACTCCAATTACACATAGATTTGTGTACATTAAAATGGAAATATAACTGCTAAAAATGGGACAGAGGTCAAACAACAAACAAACAAACACAGAATTAAGAAAATAATCAGAGAAACGATAGCCAAATAGGACAGGGGACAGAGATAGGCGCATGAAAATAACATTAAACACTAAGCTTGTGCATTTGGTTTTAGTCCAATCTCTCTCTGCTCGTCCCCACCCGTTAACTCTCCTGGATATGCTAAAGCCAAATGTGGAGTCCTGTAGCTCAGTGGTTAGAGCACTCACCTTGCAAGCGAGACACATGGGTTCAATTCCAGGCAGAGGGCGAAACCTTGCGCAAGTTTCCTTACCCCACATGCCTGATAATAATCTCTCCAAAACAAAACAATAATAAAATTGGTCATTTTCAATCCACGACTGTTTGTGGGACACTGCTGTGCGCAATTGGCTGCCGCGTTTTGCCCACAAATATACAGTCAATTCACTTTACAGCATATTCTGTGAAGTGCTTTGAGACATCTAGAGGACGTGCAAAGCACTATGTCAAATGCAAGGATTATTATTAAATGCATTCATACAGACAAGCCACAGACATACACGGTAACGCCCTTGAAGAAGTGAACAAACAATTTCTGAGAGCTAAATATTAACAAGAGACGAGTAAAGTAATGAAGGTAAATCAGACCTTGAAAGTGGCAGCACAGGTGGAAAGGACTGTGAAAAAAAACTAAGAGTATTCTGGGTTTATACATAGGGTCATTAGAGTGCAAAAGTAAAGCAATAATGCTAACTTTGTACAAATCTTTTTTTGGGGTGAGTGAGGTTAGGCCCCACTCACAGCCAAATTAGACTGAAATGCGTTCCTCAAGGGAATGAAGGTTGTCTCCGCAGACAACCCCTTTGCCCCCGAAAAAAAAATCTAGGTTCAAAATCGTCAAAGGACAATGTGGACCTGAAACCTGTCTTCACGACTACCCGCACAAGTCAAGTCACCTCTCCAGCAGGGCAAGCCCTGTCTGAGCCTAGTGACCAAGTACTTGAGTTAGCTCTGTATTCCAGTATCTCTGCTTCTTTGTGAGGGCAGATCAAACTCCTCAGGTCGGAAGTACTGCAATACCAATTTCAACTAACAGAGGGCCGAAGGCATAGCTCCTGCTAGTAGCTCGATTTTCCCATTATTATTATAATAATAATATTTGCATTTGATATAGCGCTTTTCAAATCTTCTAGCCGTCCCAAAGCGCTTCACAGAATATACTGTAAAGTGAATTGACTGTATATTTGTGGGCGAATGCGGCAGTCAATTGCGCACAGCAATGTCCCACAAACGGTTGTGGATTGAGAATGGGAAGGGAGAGAGATGATAATACAGTAATGGCCCATTGTAGCTTCGCTTGCAATCAAAGGATCCAATACAGAATGTAGATTGACAGACAGACACACATTTCATCTTTATCTATACAGCTGGGGAGGGCTCCTTTTGTGAAGGTTCCTGATGGGAGGCCTCAGTGGGAGGACTCCTGGTTGGGAGGACTCGTTGGGAGTGGATACATGTATGATAAACTTGTTTAAGTCATAGCTTTCCTCTGTCGCTACATTGTTGCAGAATATATTATAGATGCATCTCTCTGGAAAGGTGTGTGATTTTTTTTGTCACTACTTTGTTGCAGCAGACCATGCATCTTATACTAATAAAGACAAAGTGTCTGTGTGTGTATGTGTTTCCGACAATAATGCAATAACTGATTGACGTAGAGACATGATTTATATTTTATCGGAAAGGTCTTGCATGCGGGAGCGTCATGGGCATTTCTCTTTCGGGGATCTCCTATCATCGATGAGCTATATTTAAAAAATGCTTTAATTAAGCCCCAAAATATGAGGTATGCATGGTATTCTGCAACAAAGTAGTGGCAGAGGAAAGATGGATCTATACTAATGTATCCTGCAACAAAAGGATGGCATTTTTTTCAGGTTGTCATGGGAGCTACACTCCTCCCACCAGGAGTCCACCCAACCAGGAGTCCAACCAACCAGGAGTCCTCCTCATAGCATATTTTCTAAGCAAGACTTTCAAGGACAAACAAAAATGCCAGACAAAAGGGAGAAGGCCAATTAAATGAAACTGAAGAACAAAGAAGAGCACAGCTGGACTTCAATGCTTAAAAGACTAAGAGCAAGGCAACATTAGTTACCCGCTCAAAGAATGGCGTGGCTGGACTTCGACGCAGAAAGGCATGCAAGGTGTACGCAGTGTTTCAGTCATGTTAAATGGTTAGTGAGTGGTATCACTGAAATCTACATTCCATATTGGATCCTTGGTTGCAAGCGGAGCGGCAATGGGTACAGAGAGTATCTCATATTTTAGGGCTTAATTAAATCATTTTTTAAATATAGCTCATCAACGACAGATCCCCGAAAAAACAAATGCCCGCGACGCTCCCGCATGCAAAACCTTTCCGTTGAAGTATAAATCTCAATCGGTTATTGCGTTATTGGCGGACACACAGACTTTTTTTCTTTATTAGTATAGATTACGGGGAGATTCGGTTGCGGTCGTGCTAACACAAGCGAATCTCAAAAGGAACACAATATTCCAAGGAGTAACTGATAAGAACAGATACTACATTTGATCTTGGCTAAAAGGCTGAGAAATTGGCAAATCATTGGTTGCTGGAGTAGTGCATCCAGTTTAACAAAGAATGTACAGCACAAAACATTCAGTGTACATACAACAACTTGCACTTATATCGCACCCTCCACAGAGGATCGTGTCTCAAGAGCGCTTAAACTCATATACTCCATATGAGTCTCTACTCACTCTTAACTCCATCCCATATACTTCTATTCCCTTTTCCCTCCCGTGAAGGACTATCTTCCTCTAAAATGCATCTATTCTATCTGATTCAGCTATCGTTTTGAGCAGTGAGTGCTACATTTTCAATATTTTCTGTGTGAAATAGGTCTTTCTAAATTTTCTTTTACAGTCTATTAACAATAACATGATTAAACACTTACAATTTGAAACCTCCGTATTAGCTCCCCTCTTAGGTACCTCATTTTAGGAAAGATGTTAAGGCCTTGGAAGTGGTGCAGAGGAGATTTATAAGAATGGATGAGGGATGAGGGGTTTCAGTTACAAAGAGAGACTGGCTCTATTTCAACTGAAGCAAAGATTGAGAGAAGTTGTCCAGTACCTCAAGTCTACCGTGCAACAGTGCTATAAAAGGACTCGCACTATATTAAAGGCACAAAACAGCAACAAGGCTAACTGACCCTTCAATACCTTCCCTCCTCTTTCTCTCAGAAGGTGATCAACTCTGCTAATCCCTCAACCCTCCGCATGAGACTAGAAACTCTGCTGTTGTGTGTAACATCAATGTTGTGGACAGGAGGCAGATAGCTTTACCAGAACATCCCTCCCATACCTTTTGTAGTTGCCGAAAGCTGGAGTCACCACCTCTGGCCAGGGTTTCATCCAGCAAACCTTTCAGCTTCTCTGCTGAATCTTTAGTCTTTGAATGCAGATAGCCCAGAGCTTTCAAGAATATTGGATCCAGCTCCAAGTTTGGAACAGCCATTGTCCTGCGAAGCACCAGCCAGAAGGTTGAATGGAAAATAAATTAGTTGAAGATCACCTCAATATTATCAGTGAATGAATGAACCCCAGAGAGTATTTGGGGTGAAGTGGGATCCCATAGTGGGGTTTTGCAACGCACTATGGGATCCCACCACCTCAAATGCTCCCCACCTCTTTCTCTCCCTCCGCTCTCCACCTTCTGCCTATTCTGTTCCCACAAGGGCTTTTCTCGATAGATGCTGTCAGTCTGACTCAGTTGGTAGCATTCTCGCCTCTGAGTCAGGAGGCAGTGGGTTGCAGCCCCAACACACACTCCCTCTCCTCCATACACACACCCCCTCTCCCCCTCCTCTCACACTATTCCCCTCTCTCCCCCACACCCTCTCCCACTCTCTCTCTCTCCCACACACTCCCCCTCTCACTCTCTCCCTTTCCCACACACTCCCCCTCTCACTCTCTCCCCCTTTCCCACACACTCCCCCTCTCACTCTCTCCCCCACACCCTCTCCCACTCTCTCCTTCCACACACTCCCCCACTCACTCTCTCCCCCACACCCTCTCTCACTCTCTCCCTTTCCCACACACTCCCCCTCTCACTCTCTCCCCCACCCCCTCCCACTCTCTCCCTTTCCCACACACTCCCCCTCTCACTCTCTCCCCCACACCCTCTCCCACTCTCTCCCTTTCCCACACACTCCCCCTCTCACTCTCTCCCCCACACCCTCTCCCACTCTCTCCCTTTCCCACACACCCCCTCTCACACTCTCCCCCACTCTCCCCCTTTCCCACACACTCCCCCTCTCACTCTCTCTCCCCCACTCCCCCCCTCTCCCACTCCCCCTCTCTCTCTCTCCCACTCCCCCTCTCTCTCTCCCACCCTCTCCCACTCCTCTCTCTCTCTCACCACTCCCCCTCTCCTTCTCCCACTCCCTCTCTCTCTCTCCCACTCCCCCTCTCTCTCTCCCCCTCTCCCTCTCACACTCCCCTTCTCACTCTCCCACTCCCCTCTCTCTCTCCCACTCCCCCCCTCTCCCTCTCCCACTCCCTCTCTCTCTCTCCCACTCCCCCTCTCTCTCTCCCCCCTCTCCCTCTCACACTCCCCTTCTCACTCTCCCCTTCTCTCCCCCACTCCCCCTCTCACCCACTCCCCCCCTCTCTCTCTCCCACTCTCTCTCTCTCCCACTCCCCCCCTCACACTCCCCCCCACACGGACACACTCCCCCCCACACGGACACACTCACCACTACTTTCTCTCCGGTCGGAAGCATCATTCGGTGATTTCCGGTCCCGCTGTTTCCGCGGTCCCCCCTCCGGCGAGAGACAAAACGTAACTTCCGGTCCGTCGCGCTCTTCGCTCCGGACTGGAGACAAACCGCGGAGCGGAGGGACTGCACTGCACTGCACACACCGCGCAGTCACCGGACTACACGGACTACATCATTCTATTGGTAAGTAAACCGCATACATTGTGTTATTATTGTTGTGGAGTAAAGTACACCATAGTTATCATTATTGTTATGGATGATAGAGCGAGTGGATGGACTGACCTGACCCCCCCCCCGACCCCCTGACCCCCCACCCCCTGACCCACCAAACCCGACCCCCCACCCCTGACCCCCCCCCTGACCCCCCACCCCTGACCCCCCCACCCCCCGACTCCCCATCCCCTGACCCCCCCCCCCCCCCCCCCCCCCCCCCCCCCACCCCCCCCCCCCCCCCCCACCCCCTGACCCCCCCCACCCCCCCTGACCCCCCACCCCTGACCCCCCCCCCTGACCCCCCCCCCACCCCCTGACCCCCCCCCCCCCCCCCCCCCTGACCCCCCACCCCCTGACCCCCCCACCCCCTGACCCCCCACCCCCTGACCCCCCCACCCCTGACCCCCCACCCCTGACCCCCCCCCCCCTGACCCCCCCCCCCCTGACCCCCCCACCCCCTGACCCCCCCACCCCCTGACCCCCCCCCACCCCCTGACCCCCCACCCCCTGACCCCCCCCACCCCCTGACCCCCCCCACCCCCTGACCCCCCCACCCCCTGACCATTCAGTTGTTCGCTGATGGTTCTTTCGCTCTCTCCTCCAGGGCCCCAATGAAGGACAAGGGCCCGCGTGGCCCCACCTCAGAGCACCTGTACCTGGAGCTCACCCACCACTCACAGGACCTCGTTCTGCCACTGCACACCTCTGTCGTTCTGTTTCTGCTGTCCTACTGTGACTGCACAGCTCTGAAGCTGGTCCTGGTGCCCGAGGGCGATATCGTGGACAGTCACCCGGGGAAGAGAGGGGTACCACAGAGCCTTGCCATTGACATCCTCTCCCACCAGGAGCTGCCTGCAGTAGTGCAGAGCTGCCGCTTACCTGCACTGGTAGAAAAGGGTGGAAATTTCTGCCGAGCTGGGCTGGCTGTCACGCTCAGGCACATTGTACAGGGGACCTGCAATGCAGATCCTAGCAGGAAAGACGTCGCTGAGTTGCTTGGCTTCAAGAAGACTTGCTTAAAGGCTTGTGCTGAGGTGAGTAAGCGCTTGGTTTAGCCGCTAATCTGGAAGGAAAGATTGAAATCTGTATTCGTCTCCATAGAGTTGAGGCTAGCACTCCAGCGCAGGGCTGGGGGAGCACTACATTGCCAGAGGTGCTGTCCATCAGATGAAACGTTAAATTGTCTGCCTACTCAGATGGACATCAGTGATTCCCATGAAAAAAGATGAGTGAGTTTATTCCGGTGTCCCAGGCAACAATCGTCCAGATAAATTGGTCATGCACTTAATGGCTGTGTGTAGAACATCAGTATGTGCAAAATAGCTGCCGTGCCCTGATTGTTTTGATAGGTGTACAACAGCAGCCAAGGTGACAATCACGCTCCTCCACTCCCACTCAGCACCCCTCTCCTCTCCAATTCGCTCACTCAACTCTCTTTTGCTCCCCTCCCCCCACCCTCCACTTCTTTCACCCCCAGACTGTGTATTGATGATTGCATAGCTGATGCCTTACTTGCATCAATAAACGCTCAATAGCAGACTGGCCAAAGGCTAACAGAAGACTTTCTTATAATCCCAAGTACCATACTATATAATAATAATAATCCTTGCATTTGATATAATGCTTTTCACTCTTCTAGACGTCTCAAAGCGCTTCACAGAATACACTGTAAAGTGAAGTGTCTGCACATTATGTGGGCGAAACACGGCAGCCAATTGCGCACAGCAGTGTCCCACAAACAGACGTGGATTGAAGTGACCAATTTATTGTTTTTTGAGGGATTATTATTAGACGTGTGGAATAAGGAAATTTGCCCGAGGTTTCACCCTGCCGGGAATCGAACCCAGGTCTCTTGCTTGCAAAGCGAGTTTTCTAACCACTGAGCTACAGGACTCCACATATTTGCGATGTACACATATTTGTGATACAGTATATTCAAAACATACGTCAGGACTTTGAGATGCATGTTAACTATCCCATGGCACTATCTAGAAAGAGAAGAGAATTTCTCCAGATGAAATTGGTCATTCACTTCATTGTTTGTGGGTCAAATTGGATGCCACATTCATCAACAATCTTAATACTAGTCACTACACTTTACAGTATATCCTGCAAATCGCTTTGAGACTTTTCAATAATATGCAAAGGTGCCAAATTAAATGTTAGGATTTTTGTTATTAAGGATTATTTAGAGTGCTGCACTCTACTGAGGGGATTTTATAATAATATATAATAATCCTTGCATTTGATACAGCGCTTTATCGCGTTGTTTAGTCGTCTCAAAGTGCTTCACAGAATATTTTGTAAAGTGGATTGATTGTGTATTTTGTAGACGATACGCAGCAGCCAATCGCGGTCAGCAGTGTCTCACAAACAGTTTTGGATTGAGTGACCAATTTTTTTGAGGGACTGATACCCCCCCCCCCGGAAAGCGATCCGCCAATTGACTAACAACCGGGTTCCTCCTTACTGTTTGAGGCGTGTGGAGTAAGAAAACTTGCCTATGGTTTTACCCTGCCGGTGAATCGAACCCACATCCTCTCGCTTGCGAGGTGAGCGCGCTACCCACTGAGCTCCAGCACCACATGCATGAGATTTGAGCTGCACTTTGGTCATTTTGGTCATGGTAAACGTTTCTGCCTTATTTGTTTGTTGAATCAAAGCAGGTGGTTTAACATCTTACTGCTTATTGATTTCTAAAGTTGAGCCAGGGAAGGTTTTGCAAGGTTCTGCAACCTGTTCTGGAGGGGTTGTCTTGTCTTTTAGATGGATACAATTGCAGTACTCAAGGTCTGTCACTAGATGTCATTGAGCTGTTTTGGGAAAACAAACCCAATTTATTTTGTCAAGGCTTTGAATTCTGGAACGGCGCAATATAAAGCAGGGAATTGCTGTGATTGTTTTTTTTTAACACATAGTAAGGCCTGATCTGTCACAGTTTAAAGTTTAAACATTGACAATAATAATGAAGAAAATTACTAGGGTTGGAGATTATGCATTTTAGGCTCTGCATTCAGCCTTGCGGGTGCTGAGAGAGTTAGTGATGTTGGTATTATATATCATTATACGTTTCATAACATTTTTTCCAATAATTATTCTGTCAATAAGTTTCATTATTTGCACTATTGAGTCACACTGTTTGCTGCACTTACGGAGTCAGTCTGGATCAGTTGGTAGCTCTTGCCTCCCAGTCAGAAGGTTGTGTGTGGGTTTAAGTCCAACTCTGAATTCACAGTCGATGCTCCAATGCAATGCTGTAGAGCATTTCATTGTTGGAGGATATATTGTGATCACAGATATCATACTGAAAGGATTTCTGATGACAGAAGAGATATGTGAGGCTATTATAGCACAATTTGAATGTTGTTCTATAGAGATAAAGGAGATTGAGCCTTGCTTTGCTAATTTTAACCACTTCATTGCCGTGCCTGGGACTGATGGGGAATTGCTTTAACATAAGGACAATTAATGCTGCTGACAGGTGGTGTTAGGAGGCTCCTCTGCCGCTATGGTGAACCTCTCCCTGGTCCACCAAACTTGTTCCTTGCACGTCTAAACCCAGGGAAACATTTGCAACTAAATGTAAGTGTACGTATTTGTACCATCAGTTGTAGGCTGTGTCGCAACAGTTATCCATATCAGAGGTTTTCTTGCTTCCAAAACTTAAAATAAAACCTCAGCAAAAAAAATCCCTTTCTAAATCGGAAAAGCAAGCTAATAAATTCCAATTCAAACGTTAATGTCACTATATTTTCTCCTGACCACAAACCGTTGGAAATAGTTCTGTCAGCCATCCAACTGGCCTTGTGTAGACTTCCTATTGTTATAATCTTTATTTGCCTTACTAAGTCGAGCAGGATTCAATCATACCCAAAATAGCTAACCAATGCACTTTTTTTCCCCACTTTCAATGATGATAACTTTGAAAGTTTTGAAGCTTAAGCACAACTTCTTGCTAACAAACTTATACCCATTGGATCCAATTGGAAGAAATATGGTTTGGTTACCTCTCTGGTTTTCTTCTGACCGTACAATATTTGGGAGCATTGAGTTAATATCAGAGTGGTTTGGTGTAATCGGTATTTCAGACCATGATAAATATCAAATGGCTTTTAGTAATAATAATCCTTGCATTTGATATAACGCCTTGTCACATCATTGAGACGTTTCAAAGCACTTCACAGAATATAGTGTAAAGTGAATTGACCATATATTTTATGGGCGAAACGCAGCAGCCAATTGCACCCAGCAGTATCCCACAGACAGTCGTGGATTGAGTGTAACTGGATTTTTTTAATAGATTATTACCCTTGGAAATTGATCCACCATTCAACTAACCATTCAGCTCAGACTGGGAAGAGTTGAGGATGCTTGGCAAACGCAACCTGGTAGCAATTGAGAATTTCCCCACTGCCCCGTGTGATACCAAAGATTTAAAAAACACAGTGGAGGAGGCGAAAGGGTTTACTAATGAAAATTAGGTAAGGAAGCAAACCTAGCTGCCTCAGAAGTGAAAGAAGATCTTTATCCAGAGGATCAATTGCCTCTGGACTATAGAACATTCAGAACATTGACAGGACACTAGCACCAAAGGTGTTATGTATAGATCTCCGCCCCTGTAATAATTAATAATAATACTCTTTGCATAGCACCTTGTCACATTGTTGAGATGTCTCAAAACATTTTACAGAATATAGTGTATATTTTGTGGGTGAAACTCGGCAGCCAATTGTGCACAGCAGGGGCCCACAAACAATCGTGGATTGAGTGACCAGATTTTATTTATTTATTGTTTTTTGAAGGGAATATTAAACCCGGAAAGCGATCCATTAATCGACTAACAAACAAGTTCCTACTCACTACAAGGTAAACAGAGTCGTGTAGAGTAAGGAAAGTTGCCTAAGTTTTCGCCCTGCCAGGGAATCCTCTTGTTTGCGAGGCGAGTACTCTAACCACTACACTACAGGACTCCAACCTACTGTATAAAAATGCAGCCTATGTTACCAGGAGACTCTTGTATTTGCATTGAGATGGTTGTTCTCTCACCATTTGAATGCATGTGGGGGAAGTCTTAGCAAGGAGATTAGTGCAATATTCTAACTCTCTGTTGCTGTGATGGATGGGATCTTGCACTTTCCCAGACAATTCAGTTGTATTCCGTGTGCCGGGGGTATTTTGTTTTATTATGTTCTAGTGCTGGTTGATTGTAGGGCAGGGCAAGCAGTAAGATGCGTTTCGTCATTTGGAACAAATCTCAAGTGTGATCAATAGTTTAAACTTGGAAACCATCCAGTGCAGAATAACTTTGAAAACTTGGACTGTGCCTCTACCCACCTATTCTGCTTTGTTTCCATATTTGGTGATTCCCATTGCAAAGCAGCATCTTGTGCCATGTTTTCAGTTGTCGGGTTTTTGAAAGCGTAATCCGTTTGACCCCCTTAGTATAGAAAAACTGGAAATGTGAAAATACAATAGGGTTGGAAATCTCCTATTAATAACTTTGAGATGTTTCAACACCATAGATGTATCAAATGCAAGCTTTTGTTTAGTTATAATAATTTTCATTATTGTATTATGTATTGTCCCAGCTCCTTGGGATGTCCTCTCGACATGAAAGGCGCTCTACAAATGTAATCTTGTTGTTGTATTTTAACCATTCTCTTGAATTCCATCCTGCAGTCCCTCCACCTCAACACACACCTCCCGCACCTTCAAAGCCATCTATTCAACTACGCTTTCAGTCACTTTCCGCCAATTGCCTCTGTCAAGTGCTTTGAAACATCTTCTTGATGTGAGAGGAGCTGTATAAAATTATTGTTGCTGTTTGTTCGAGAGGGCCTTGTCCCCTCCTTCCCCTTTTTCAGATCACGACTAAAGACCTTCCTCTTCGACCGTGCTTACAGTCACCTCATCCGTACCCCGGTTTGGTATCGGGCTCCACCACTGTTAAGCGCTCCGAGACAATATGAATGCAAGTTGTTTTTTGTTTTAGTTGTCAAATTGTGAAAGTATTTAACAGGAATAAGGTGTGCTTTCTTTCTTACAGGTAAGCCACTGGACAAGGCTGTGCGAAATCAGCATCCCATTAGCTGTGGAAGCTTTTCTCGAGACGTCTCCCGATCAGCGGGCAGTCATTCCACCCGAAATCCTGCACCTGGAGCGAAAGCTTGGGGAACCAGTCCGCGTTCACAACGATGACAAGATCCGCAGGCAGAAGCTACTGCACTTGTCCAAGGCGAAAGGCACGCAGCCCACTGCAAGCACATCTGAAGGCCCCCACAGAAGATCCCCTGAAAGAAAGGCTGATACAGACCCAGATGTAGAAAAGAACCAGGGGAGCAATGCGAGCAGCGTGGAGCTCAGCGCTGCACTCTCCAAACTCAGTGTGGAGCCGCTACCGTCCGTGACCACTAGGGAGCCCTCTTGCATTAGGAAAGTGAAGACCGTTGATCTGCCAGCACTGGAGCATGTGTTTGCTGAAGGTCTTTTCTTCACACTCACAGACCTGGTCCTGCTGCCCTGTCTTCATTATTACTTTGTGAGTCTTGCATTCTTAAACTGCAATTTTTGAAAAACAATGCTATATACAGTGTCATATATGCAGTATATATACTGCACTGTGAAGCCCTCCGCAGCCTTGCTCCTCCCTACTTCTGCAACCTATTAACACCATACCAACCTTTCTCCTGCCTATGTTCGGTGGGCACTTCGGCCACATTTAGGTAGCGCCTTGGGACATCTTTCCAATGTGAAAGGCTCTATATAAATGTCATTTGTTGTTGTAAAGGTAGAGGGGCTGTACTCTTTTCACCAAAGTTCAAATTAGCCTTTGTTTTACATTGTTTACACTGTAATAGCTTCTTGGTGGATAATGGAACTGGCAAGTCTTAAATCAAACCACTTCTATTAATAGTCTCAAGGTCAGGATATTCTGGTGAGGCTTCCCATTTTTGGCCAGTTCCGTTCAGTAACTGCACTGAGCACCACTGTGTTGTGATCTGAGGAATGCTGAGGGGGAATGTTAAGCCAGGACTTGCATGATCCCAGGCACACATGCCGTGCTGAAGCTAGTATTTAAATTGGATCCGTACCGCCTAGTTCCACATTTAAAAGCAGCAGGAGTTTCTGTAAGGAAGGCTGAGGGGAGCTGAGAATGAGAATAGATGCTTCCAAGAGACTGTCAGGTTTCGACTGAGTAAAGACATCATAATAAAATAAAATTGGTCATTCACTTCATGGCTGTTTGTGAGACATTGATGTGTGGAAATTGGCTGCCGTGTTTACCTACAAAATACACAGTCACTTTACAGTAGGGGTCTTCAACTGGTCGATCATCGCAAGGTGGCACTATCGAGCATGATCAAGCGATAGATCTGAGTAAATATTGAGCCCAATTGAAAACGAAGCCAGACGCACAAAGTATTTCATGCATCTGGAAATAAAAATATAAACATTTTTGTTTAAACTGCAGTAAATATCCCTCCTCCTTGTTTTTATTCACAAGACGCCACCAAGCAGCAATCGACTGTTTGGAGACCCCTGCTTTACAGTATATCCCATGAAGCGCTTCAGAGAGTCATTATTATCATTAATAATAATTAATAATAAATCCTTTCATGTTGGGTGTGTGGGAAAACACTTTACAGAATTCACTGTGAAGTGGAGAGTGAGAGCTTATTTGGCAGCCAATTTGTGCGCAGCAATGTCTGTTGCCTGCCCACGTTTGATTTTTTTTCCACTACCATGTTTACAACTAGGTTACAGCTAAACCAAGAAACTAATTTCTAACTGTGTTTTGTAGAGGGAGCGACCATTGAGTCAAGTTGCAAATTAAGGGTTTTCTTCCAAAGATTTTTTTTCTCTGCAAACATTTCACAGTTGAGTTGTTTTTCAGAATTGTAATGCTTAATTTAAATCAGATAGTATAGACTCATTCAAGAGGAAGCTAGACCTTCATATGAGGAGAGGGGGACAGAAGGGTATGGGAGGGAGTAAGGATGGGTGGAGACTCGTGTGGAATATAAACACCGGCACAGACTGGTTGGGCCGAGTGCTGTACAGTCTTTGTAAATCTTTGTAAATCTCTCAGAATGGAATGTTTCACCATCTGCTGGTAAAACAGGCCGGTTATGAATGGCATCTGGAGATACCGCAGTTTAATTTACCTGGGCTGCTTGTCATTTTTTATTTTAAATACAGTGATGTATAATGCAAGGCTTTGTCTGCGAAAGGCTTGAATATTTGTGACTTGTTTGAAACTATGGTGTGCTTTGCCTTCTCCGTGATGTTTGATGCTGCCCCGCATTAAAGGGCCCTATATAAACGCAAGTTGTTGTCGTCGTCGTGGATGAATGCAGCATACTTGCATTCTGCACTGATTGTTATAATGTAAGCCAAGCAGAGAATGACTGACCTGATGGCTTAAAAGGTTTAATGTATCTGATATCAAGTTTACACTGTTGTGTCTGTGCAGCGAATTACTTTCCTGAAGTTGTTCTGCACTTGTGATACGTCATTTGGGCTGAGATGTCTTTTTCTGATAATAATAATAATGATCCTTGCATTTGATATAGCGCCTTATCATGTCTTTGAGACGTCTCAAAGCGCTTCACAGAATATACTGTAAAGTGAATTGACTGTATATTTTGTGGGCGAAACTGTCCTTTGGAAAATCAGTTTGGTGCCGACTGAGGTTCGTGGCTTACCCCGTGGGTTTGTGACAGCACAGCTGTTCCCTGAAATTCTTATGAGAAAAGACATGAGGCCCTGCAATGATGCTTCCAATCCATTGCAATCATTTTGCAGTATTCAGGTACTCTAGTGCCTCGGTTGTCCTCAGGCTCTGCGCGCTCTGTTTTTGAGGTACTTCTCATGCTGTAGGCCTTGTTTTGGGGTATCTGTTGTCCTGAGGCTGTGCGCTCTCAGTTTGAGATGCAATGTATTAATACTCTGGCTCATGGGTCCAGGTTGGGGAGACATATTGTCTACAATGAATTCATAGGATCACTCACTCCATGGCTGTTTGTGTGACATTGCTGTGCGCAAACTGACAGCTGTGTTTCTCCCACAACATTACACTGTCAGTCCACTTTACAGTATATCCTGTGAAGCGCTTTGAGGCATTTTGATGACGTGATAAGGATCTATGTTAAATATTATTATTATAGCTATTATTAACTAGCCAACATAAATGTTACTGCGCCCTGTCTGCATAAGCGATTGCTCACTTACGTTTTCTGTGTGAAAGCCCTGAACCTGACAGATTTGCTTCTATACGTATCGTGTTGCTTTACCACATTATTATTTAGAGAGAAATAAAAAGGCCACACATTTGCATGAAAGTAATTTCGGAGTAAAAGCAAAGATTTAACTTCTGAATTAAGTGCCAGTGTGAACCGTTTGTAAATGTGAAAAGGGTTTTTTGTGGCTCTAGGACGGTGGGTGCTTTTAGGGGAGAAATTACAGCTGTCAGAGCAAACAAAAGCTGAAAAATAAGAAAGAATGTGAGGAATAATTGGATTATCCTCCTACAGAAATTCCTCACTGTATCTAGCCTTCTCCACTCCCTGGTATTACTGTTATTCTGCACCTGCTTTAGTGGAAAGCAATCCATGGCTGTTTGTGAGACACTGCTGTGCACAACTGGCTGCCGCATTTCGTCCCCAAAATACACAGTCAATCCACTTTACAGTATACCCTGTGAAGCGCCTTGAGACGTCTCGGTGACATGATAAGATGCTATACCAAATGCAAGGATTTTTATAAAAATTATTATTATTATTATTAACTATACTAAATTAATAATAATAAGCATCACTGCAGGTTCCTCTCCTGGATAATTCTTGTTCTCCCCACGTTTTCACGCAGTGTAATTAGGATCTGCAAAAAAAAAGTAGAAATAATTGAATTTCCATAGCCTGCTTAAAAAAAAATCATGCTTGCATTTGACACGGTGCCTTATAGTGTCAAAATGTCTCTAAAGAGCTTAACACTGCCAGTTTCTTTTGAAATGTATTGGCTGCGCAACAGGAAAATATCCTGCGAATGTGCACCAGCAAATAGTTAGAAACAGCAGTGAGTTGAATGTCCAATGAATCTGTTTTTTAGTGAATTTAGATAAGGCAAGAATTTTGGCTGGGACACCCAGATATTGCCTGGGTCCTCTTTGAAATAGTATCATGACATCAAAGGAGGAAATGGGCTTTATTTATCATCTGACGGATGGTACCTCTGAGAGTACTTTCTGTTTTGGTTCTGCTCTACAGTGTTAGCTTAATCTGTACGTTCCAGTTGTGGTGTGGGATTCTGCTTGTTCAGAAGGACAGTAAAGATCTCAGGGCATAATTTTAAAAAAGGACATTCCTCCCGGTTTTTTTTGGACAATATGTAAGATAAAAGATAAAGTAAAATTGGTTATTTGCTTGATGGCTGTTTGCTGTGTGCAAATTGGCTGCTGGGTTTGCTACAAAATACACAGACACTACATTTTACAGTAAATTCTATGAAGTGCTTTAAGATATCCTTCTGTTGTGTAGTCATTATATGAAAAGCAAGGATTATTATATAAAAATTGTGGCTCAAATCCGATTGTACCACATGCAAAACAATTTTGTAAGATGTAAGGTTTCCGCTCTTATGTTTTGTGACTGTTTTCAGTACTGCTGATGGGTTACTTAAACATTTTTTGACCTGTACTATCCCTTCATGTTTGAGTTTCTAAGGGCCTTGTTTAGATACCTCTTGAGTCTTTTGCTGATTTGAATTTAAAAATAGTTTTCTCTTGTGTAGCTTTGCTGCAACTGGGGAACAAAATATACAGTCAATTCGCTTTGCAGTATATCCCGTGAAGGGCTTTGTGACGTCTCGAAGATGTGAGAAGGCGCTATATCAAATGCAAGAATTATTATTATTAATAATAACAGTTGAGGAAACAGCTAGCTGCCACGAAAACATACAAAATGTGTATTTTCCAATTCAATCCTTGTTTGATTTTACCCATTTTTTGTGGCTGGGTCATTGCATGCATGACTGCTCCCTTAATGACAGAGACAGAAGTAATAGCAGATTACAAAAATGTTCAGCCTGGTAATGAATTGATTGCAGAAATCTGAAGGCAGCGATTTAGTCTCTAAAAGCCCCAATTTAGCAAATTGAAATGTCTTTTCTGAATTTCTGCCGATCAGGTTGCTCTTGGAGATCGTCGAGATGAGGTCCTGTCTTCTCTGCCTTTGCTGTCCCATTGGTACCAGCGAGTTCAGGAAATACCTGGAGTGAAGAGAGCGGCAGCCAGCTGCGAGATACACTTTCTCAACATCCCGACGGGTCCTATGTCGTCCTCGGGCGTACGGTTGCCAAGCTCCAGCGATTCCATGGACTGCGAGCCAGGGAGCGACGACCTCCATTTCCGAGGTGGCCCGAGACCCACCATGAGCAAACTAGAAGTAATTACATTTTGTGCCTTTTTAAGAGACTCTTGCTGTTACGTTTCATATATTGTGTTGAGACTGAAAGTTTTTTTTGTGATCAGTCCGACAACTGATTGTGTAATATTGTGATGATAATCTTTGCATTTGATATAGGTCCTTTCACATTGGATGGAAGGATGTCTCAAAGCGCCTTGATGACATCCTCCCAATTGAAAGGCTCTATATAAATGTAAAATTGGATTTTATTGTAAACCCTTCACAGGATTTTACTGTAATGTGTAGTGACTGTATTTTGTAGGTGGATGCAGAAGCCAGTTTGTGCACAACAAAGTTCCACAACAAAGCCCAAAAATGAATGACCATATTTATTTGGGAGATTGTTGGTCAGGATATTGGGAGAAACTCCCTTTCCTTTTCAAACAGTGCAATAGTAGTTGCCAGTGACTGGCTGATATTGATACAAATGCGTTTTGAGGTATGAGACACATATTCTTCTTTACCCATAGAGTGATTTTTTTCTTTGATAAAATTTTATGTACTGTTTTTTCTGAACAAGGCTCGCCAAAGTGACGGTAGCAGATCTTTCTTATTTTCTTCCGAGGTTTACTGGACACACACTGGCGCAGTTTAATTAAACCATTATGAAGGCTGTAGGCTGGTGTCGACTTAATGTTGCTTTTGCCTAGTGCTCTGAATGCCAAGAGTAATAATAATAATCCTTGAATTTTATATAATGCCTTATATCTTTGAGATGTCTCAAAGCACTTCACAGAATATACTGTAAAGTTAATTGACTGTATATTTTGTCGGAAAAACACAGCAGCCAATTGTTCACAGCAGCGTCCCACAAGCAGTCGTGCTTTAAGTGACCAAGTTATTCTTTTTTTTTAAAATATGAAAAGCTCTTGGCATTCAGAGCACTGGGCAAAGACCCACACCCCAGTATGTGCTTCAGTGTTTCACCCTATGAAGCCCCTCACCATATGTTTTTTTTTAACAGAGTTGTCTGGAGCATTGGTTCCTGCCATTAGCTCAATCTGAATCATTTGCTGTCTTGCACTTTGTTGCTTGATACACACATTTGATTCCAATCACTGTCAGTTGACACTTCGTAGAGAAATGGATTGCAGCCAATCTGTAGTGCAGCATTGCTTAGGTCAGTGCTGAGATCCATGGAATTCTGAATCTGAACAAGATGGTTGTGTTTCTCTATAAATGCAGGAATGCATTTGATTTGAATATGTACTCCCACTTCCCACCCCACTTCCACCCCAGTGCCACGTGTGTGCACAATGTGCTTCTGATGTAGATAAAAGACCTGTAGCGTATGGTTACAGCACTCGCCTCACAAGCAAGAAGAACCGTGTTCGATTCCCAGGCAGGGCGAAACTGTAGGCAAGTTTCCTTACTCCACACTTTTCTGTTTACCTAGCAGTAAGTAGGAACCTGGTTGTTAATCAATTGTTGGATCACCTTCCAGGGGTAATAATCCCTTCAGAAAAATAATAATAATAATTTGGTCACTCAATCCATGATTGTTTGTGGGACACTGCTGTGCGCAATTGACTGCCGCATATCGCTCACAAAATTCTTTATAGTGTATTCTGTGAAGCGCTTTGAGACGTCTCGAAGACGTAATAAGGCACTATATGAAACGCAATAATACTATTATTATTATTAAATGTGTTTTGGGTGGGTGCCTCCAGTAGTGCTACTTGCGCTGTGTATTCCTATTTCTGGGTGAAGATTGTGTCTCTGTTTTGATTTCTACTCTAGACGCTTCAAGTTTGTCTGCGGTGAGACTCGACGCATTAAATTCAGAGCGTCCCTCACCACTTGCAGAACCACATCAGACACACCCAAAAAGCATTTATATTAGACAGATGCTACTGTATGAAATAATTAATTTGATACAGATTCTGTACTCTTTGATTTGGTTACACCAAGTTGATTTTGATGCAATGTGCAAACGAATTAGGAAGACACTTACCAATCTCTGCTGTGGTGGCTCCCTCCTTAGCTTTCTCAGCAGCCTCTTGAGGTTTCAAGCACAGCAGTGTCCCACAAGCAATCGTGGATTGAGCGACTAAATTATTATGTTTAAAAAAAAGTTTGAAGGAAGTATTACGCCCAGAACAGCAATCTGCCAATCGACGAACAACTGGGTTCCTACTTACTGCTGGTAATCAGAGGCGTGTGGAGTAAGGAAACCGCCTATGTTTTCGGCCTGCCCAGGAATTGAACCCGAGTCCTCTCGCTTGCGAGGCGAGTGCTCTAACAACTACTCTACAGGACTCAATTCACCTTGTATTGATGAGAGAACCTAATTTAAACAGTGTTACTAGCAGGAATGCTGCGATTGGATTTGCAACCCCCAATTGAATTGAGATGATGTTTTAGCACTTTCCCAGAGGGATCTGTAACTACAAGGTCTAACGGAGGCAACGAAAATGAAAAGTGAAATCCCTGGGTCAGAGGAAAAACTAATTAAGTTCTTCAATCTAAAACAGGAGAATGGGATTTCAGCGAAGTTCACTCCACACCCATGTCCCTCATGGAGCTTGGACTGGAGCAGCCTGCCGGTAGCTGTCAATCCCACTGAAGGTAACAACAATCTTAGTTTCCCCTTTCACCCTGGCGGTGTTTGAGCCCTCTGCCCTCACAATTCACATACCTTTTCCCAGGGGACCTCCTGTAACCAGGTCAAGTTGCACCACTGTTGACCTCTGCCACTTGTAACCTCTTCAATAACTGTGATTCATCATCTTAATGCTGCAAGGTTCTTTCCGCTTTATTGATCAGATCCTCTTGGACCTGTTCTTGCACATTTACTGACAACGTTCAAAATCTCAATTATGAATTTCAATGAAAAAATTTATTTTCATTTTGTTTGGAACAATTATATCCCTGATGTGTATCTGTGTGCCATAAGCTTTGCCCAAAGTGTGATTTAAATTCCTAACCGTGTGCTTGTACAGATTACCTTCAGTACAGCACTGCTTCATAGGTGATGTTGTCTCAGTAGATTGTAGGTAAGCCAGGCACAAGAGAAGAAGAGAGAGAGAGAGGGTTGGGGGCTTGAGGCTAGCTGAAGGCACTGTGAAAGAGGAAGGGATTTGAAGGAGGCAAGAGAGACAGTGAGGCGGAGGGATTGTGGGATAGAGTTCCAGAATGGGAGGGAAAGAGATGCTGAATGCCCGACCGCCACTAGTGGGGCGTGAAGTACGGGGGACCTGGAGCAGGCTGATATGGGATTAGGAGGTCTCAGAGGTAGGGGGGAGCAAGACCATGGAGGGCTCTGAAGATGAGAACGAGGCTTTTGATCTCGATTATCTGAGGGATGGGGAGCCAGTGAAGCCAGGCAGGGATGGGGTTGATCGGTTCGCGGAAGCTTGATGCGGGAGAGGACACGAGTTGCAGAGTTCTGAATAATCTCTTGGGCCCTCTTTCTCAGGCGATATTGTAGTGTTTTGCATAAGAACCCAAAAAGAAATATGAATTTTAAAGATGCTCAAAGCCTCCCAGAAAAACACTTTTTTTTAAAACTGAGTGAGGAATAAGTTTCTTAAATTAATTATAGTTAATTTATCTCACATTACCTTATGCAATTTACTTGATCCAAAATGTCGGATTTTTTTTGATGAAAAGGTCTTACTGGTGTTGCGTGTTTGGAGGCAGCTTTGATTTAATTGTACACGCATGTTTGCTGCATAACTCAGCCAGTCACAGACCCTGAGGAGAAGTAGCTGTAAGGTGGCCAGTTAATTCATTGACCTCACCAGATATTTTATTGCTGCTGTTGGATTCCACTGATAGAAATGTTGCTGGTATTTGTTAGAGCATGAGAAACCGGTTTCTTCCCCTCCCCCCCACCTTGCCGTCTTCCCCCAACCTCTTGCTCAAGGCCGTGATCCCATCTAATACCAGATCCTGCCTACAGGTTCAGCTTCCTTCTGCAGTTCCACACTGTGTGTGGTGACGGGCAATCCTGTACCCTAAACAATTTAAACGATGATTGGTTTGGGTTGCAATATGGTAGCCATCAAGGGGGCCAAGGAGATTTAACAGCTGATCTGTACGAGTACTGAGCTGACAAATGGTCTTTTCAGTAAATCTTGTCTTTGCAAGAGCTGAGCTGCATGGAAACAATTAAGCATCTAAACTGTGTTACCGGAATGAGCATTAGAAATCCCAGCAAGAAATCCCAAACCCAGTTAAATGATGACACCTCCCCCTCCCATCACATCCATCTATGTGATGGAAAGAATCCTGCAGGGTCAAAGACACACATTTGATAGCAGTCAATTGCAGGGGAGCGTTTGTTTCTTTGCTATTGACTCTGATGTGTGTGTCAGCCAAAGTAAATGGTAATGAGCAGGAAATTACTCTTCAGTTTAGTACAGAGCCACATCGTGAAACTGTATTTAAAAAAAAGAACAGCAAGGAAATGTTCTTTTACGTTCCACTCACATAGCTGTCTGTGGCGGCTGTGGGCTCAGCAGCTATACTGTAAGGAGATTAAAGATTGGGAGTGCAGAGATTTACAAATCTCTTGTCTCAGCTAATATAAACACGTGAGAAGGACGAATGTCAAACCTGATCTAAAATAGTTTCCAGCAACTTAATTCTCCTGAAGTTCTTATACCGATCATGACTATTTCCGTGGTGTGGAATTCATTTGGTAAATGTCACTTGTGCTTCTGAAATGAGATGATCACTGAGCTCCTCTCTTGGGTCTCCCCTTGTACTCCGAACCTCCTGACTACATGAATGCTTTACATCTATAAAGTAAAATTGTTAAATTTCAATCTGACTATTATTCCGTGTCTTCCAACAGAGTGCATTGCTTCCTCTTGTTAACCAGGAGAGCTTACAGCTAGATAAGTGAGATAATAATAATAACAATTCTTGCAATTGATATAGCACTTTTCACATCTTCTAGATGTCTCAAACACTTCACAGAATATATTGTAAAGTGAATTGACTGTTTATTTGTGGAGTCCTGTAACTGAGTGGGAGAGCGTTCGTCTCACTAGCGAGGGACCTGGCTTCGATTCCCGGCAGGGCAGAATGTCGGGCAAGTTTACTTACTCCACACGTCTCTGTTTACCTAGTAGTAAGTAGGAACAGGGTTGTTAGAGGATTGGTGGATCGCTTTTCCGGGGATAATAATTCCCTCAAAATAATAATAATAAGTTGGTCACTTCAATCCACTACTATTTGTGGGACACTGTTGTGTGCAATTGGCTGCCACATTTCGTCCACAAAATATACAGTCAATTCACTTTACTGTCTATTCTATGAAGCGCTTTGAGACGTCTCGAAGACGTGATAAGGCATTATATCAAATGCAAGGATTCTATTATTATTATTATCCACAGTTGTGGATTGAGTGCTCAATTTTTTTTTAAGGATTATTATCCCCGAAAAAGCGATCCGCCAATCGACTAACAACCGGGTTATTACTTACTGCTAGGTAAACAGAGGTGTGTGGAGTAAGGAAACTTGCCCAACATTTCGCCCTGCTGGGAATCGAACTCGGGTCTCTCGCTTGCGAGGCGAGTGCTCTAACCACTGATCTAATACTTTGGGGAAATACTTTGGGGGAAATTGTTGTAGTAGTAATAATAATATTTTATAATAATCGTTGCATTTGAAATAGTGCCTTGTCACGTCATTGAGATGTCTCAAAGCGCTTCACAGGATATACTGTTCAGTGGATTGATTGTATTTTATAGACAACATGTGACAGCCAATTGTGCACAGTAGTGTCCCACAAGTGAGTGACAATTTTTTGGGTATTGATTGTTGACCAGGACATCGGTAGAAACTTCCTTCTCTTTTCAAATAGTCCCATGGGATCTGAACAGGCAGATGGATCTCGGTTTAATATCTGTTCTGCAGAATGGCACCTCCAACAATGCTACACTCCCCAGCACTATATTGGAGTGTTATCTTAGTCGTGGGCCTTCAAGCCACAGACTTCTTACTCCGAGGCGAGAGTGCTATTTCTATTCATCCCACATCTGAAATGTTAGTAAAATAAACAAATTAAATGAAAGATTATTTTTAATAATTCTAAGCGTAAATATGACTACAGCAACTTTTGATACTTAATGGCTAGGGTTAGCATCATTTGGTTTGCTTACTATTAGGAAAGTGTTTAATTTGTATTTGCTCAAGTGTGGTCTTTCCCACATGATACCCAGACATGAGAGGGCAGACAGCCAGCCGCCCCCATTGGCAATCCATTCTGACTGGATGCTGAGAGATTGAAGCGACATACATAACCCATGGTGACCTGCCCTCCAAACGTTTCCTCTTCCTTCTCAGAGGACCCTCCTTGCCGCTACTATGCCTTCGCTTGACAACTTAAATTAAATTAGAAACCCAACACTATGTGGGAAGCGCTCACAATCTTTCCTTGACAGATTGGACATCCAGAGTGCTGCTCCACCGCATGGTCCAATCCAACGCGATCTTCAGATCTCTCGATTTGCAGAGCTGAAAAATTAAATAAACTATTTGGGGATATGCTGTGCAATCCCAGTAACTGGCCTTGAAGACTTTTTTGTTTACAGTGAAAATTGTTTCCCTTTTCAATGAACATGGACAGTTTTCTGAATTCCCATGACAATGTTATTCTTAACATGAGTTGATTCTGCTGTACAAAGTGATGCAACACTTATATCTTCCTATTCAGACAGGCAGCCCTGTATTACTTAAAAATTAGTTGCCCGGGCAATCTTAGTTCTGAATCAATTTTCAAGTATTTATTTGCGAAGAGCATCTAGAAAAAGACTCACTTGGAATTTTCACTTGGAAAACAGTGCAGGCACTCAAAAGACTTCCAATTTTAATCAGACTAAAGCAAAACAGTACAATTTTCACTGTAAAAACCATGCAGGGCTGAGTGATCAAGCACAAATGTTAGCAATGAAATTTTTCTTCATTCAAGACCCTTTAATCTATTCCACCATTGAATCACAGGGTTAAATATGTTTTGGTTTCATGGCTAAGCACAATTTTTGTATTAAATAAAGCATTTTTCAAAATTAGATTTGGCACACTTAATGTACATCCTATTCAGACTTTGTTTGAAGGACAATGTTCTGCTTCATGTACGGCACATAGTTGGATTTGGTTATGATTAGTGGATTTTTGTTATCAAACATTAGAAGCTAAATAATGTTGATTTTAAAAAATGTTCGCGTTTGGATGCCCCAAATAAAACTTATTAAATTATCATGAAGTTGGTGCATACATACAGTAACTAAGTAGAGAGTGTTAGCTATGCTTCTGGATATAAAGCTTGAATGAAAAAGTTGTGGGTATTTTTTTGGCAAGTGACACTAAAGCGAAAATGTGTCTCATTAGAACGGCAAATTATTTTAACATTGCTCATTTCTTTGAAGTAAAATAAAGCCTTGCTTAGTGTTGTGCAAATGTAAATATAACCCAAAGTAGCTACTGTTACATTTATTTGTGTGTGAAAGTTTGATGTTAAAATACAGGGGCTCCAGCATCTAAAGCTTGCAAACGACATAATTACCTTGGATAATGAAGTGCTTAGCCTAGACCAATTTGCTTTAGGTTATGATGCA